TTCACATTTTATTGGAAAGTCGTATATCAACGACATTTCCAAACACGTCGTCTGTGAGTAATTCTTTCCTAGGTTATGCTTTTAAACAACCTCAATTTGAAATTGCTCGACCTTGAGCCCGAAGTGCCGCCACTTGGTGTGTCTGTTGTGTTTTGGGGTGTCGCCAGTGTACTACACATGTTTAAGACACGCTACCAGTTCGAGGCGAAATATCCACATTCCATTTCCTTTGCAGCCGATGAGTCCCTTCTTGGACTGAGAAAGGAAAATGATCACTGGCTCTTAGCCTATCATACAGATGGACGCCTTGGAGCTGTGCCTTTCAACTACGTCCAAGAAAGAGGGGTAAGCTTATCTGTCACAAATGACCTGGCCAGATTGACAAAACGACAGAAGCGTTGACGCTAATAAACTCTGCGATCTCTGCTCTTCAACAAAGCGACATCTTCGATAAAGATGGCGTTATAAGGTATTGCATAATTTGTATTTACTTTGCTAGTTATCTAAAAACCATGAAGGAGTATTTGTCTGGCGACCACCTGGGCGCTGATCGGCCGGTGATTCCTATCCGTAGAAAGGAATTGATTCCATCACCTCGACGCATATGTATGCAATTCTTCGATTATTAAACAAATTTTAGCGGGTACCCCCAACGGCTCTGTTGTCAAAGGTGAAGCCCCGAAAGCTCCGCCGAGGCATTTAGCTACAGACAAGTTGCCCCCCGGGTTAAGTTTTTTTCTGGTTGACAGACTGCGATCGGCTACGAATGCTAGCTATGGCCGCTGCGTCCACGGTCTTTGTGAGGTCTTGAAGACTCTGGGTAAATCCGTGCCCCAGTGCTCTTCTGTTGCACAAATTTTGGGTGCCGAGTTAAAGGTAAGCTTTTCACTTCTCTGTTTTCGTGTTCTCTCAGTTTTTTTTCTGTTTTTTCTTTTTTTGCGGTTTATTGGATTTTTGTTCCTTTTTTTTGTTGCTCCAACCATTTTCGCTACCAGCTCGATTACTCTGCGTAGACTTAACACGGCCGTAATAATATAAAGCACTTCAAATGCTTCTCACAACAGTTTTTATGAATTACGGTATTTACGCCTTCTTTTTAAAAACTAGGAAGCGACTCTGACCGTAAGGCGGTCGACATACGAGCATACGTCTGACTGGACTGCTCTGCAAGAACATATGTCGAGACTCGAAGCCAAGCTCAAGAATCTTCAGGAGAACAGTTGGCCGCTTGAGGGCGATGAAACAGCCGAGCTAGATGACCTTGACAGTTTTGTAGAACTTTTGGTAAGCATGCGCCTTCTCTCTTGCCATGTCTAACTACACATAGTAGTCCTTGTAGGTCTCAACGCAGTACTTGCTCTTTTGGAATAAGTGCCTATAGCTGACCTATTCTTAGCAAATGAATATTTTGCTACATAGTTTCCTATGATGTTTGACCATGATCGTTTATGGTTGGAGTTAAAATGTATTACACGTACTTATTGTCGGAGGAGACATTGACATGTGCTCCCCGTAAACGTTCTTACCGAGCGCATAGTGAATTTTTTTAGTGTTTGATAGTGTTTCATCTTTACGGAGGGTTATAGTCCACCCTGCTTACTTCCAGTCGCACTTCTATGACCACACTTTATTTGTGTTGAAGATAATTGCTAACAAGTCGCAGGACAG